TTACTACTACACACACACACACACACACACACACACACACACACACACACACACACACACACACACACCTCTCTCCCTCTTAGGTACAAAATCCTAGAAACTCATTAAAATAAATTATTTCTATAAACATTGAGGAGTTAAGTGAAAAAGACATTTTAACTATAACGGTTAAACACAGGAAGCATATTGTGTAAGTTCCCATCTGCCTCTTATGTTTTAGGGAGAGGGATAAACCTTTGGATTTGCTATTCTTCAAGGGCCTGTTTCAAAATCCACTGAGGTCAATGGGAGTCTTTCCATCACGTCCAGTGGACTCTGGATCGGGCCTTGATTGCCTAGATTGATGTCAGCCTAATTTCTTGTTAAGCTTGTGCAAGTCACTGATTTGCAGCGGTGAGCAGTCATTATTCCTTGATGTACTTGACACGATCAAGACACCTGGAAGCGGACTGATTTTCAGAGGGTGGGTAGTTGGCAAACAGAGAATCTACTAAGTTATGATCCAAGCAGCTAATCTAAAGGAGCCATTTAAATATAAATAGATATTAAATGGGGAACTAATTAAGTGGCATAATTGAGGAATCTGGCTCACAAACAGGCACGAGGATTGTTGACAATACATTTGAAGGACTAGCGTTTACCTTGAAAAGACCAGAGTATGGAAAAACCAAAGAAGCGATCATCAAAACGATGCAGATGTATCTTCATTGGAAAGAGCTTTCCCAGCATTGTTTAATTTTTAAATATGTGTGTAATGAAAATGTTCTCCAAGTGAACTGAAGAAGTTTTAACGTCTTGAAGTTCTGAAAGCATTGCTCCCGAGACAGAGAGTGATGGCCATAAAATCAGACCAGATTTATTACTCTAGTACAGTAGAACTTCAGAGATACAAAACAGACCTGTCGACCACACACCTCATTTGGAACCAGAAGTACGCAATCAAGCAGCAGCAGCAGCGGAGACCAAAAAATAAAATAAAAGCAAATACAGTACAGTACTGTGTTAAATATAAACTACTAAAAAAGGAAAGTTCGAAAAGATTTGACAAGGTAAGGAAACTGTTTCTGTGCTTCTTTCATTTCAATTAAGATGGTTAAAAGCAGCATTTTTCTTCTGCATAGTAAAGTTTCAAAGCTGTATTAAGTCAATGTTCAGTTGTAAACTTTTGAAAGAACCACCATAACATTTTGTTCAGTTACAAAACTTTCAGAGTTACGAAAAACCTCCATTCCCGAGGTGTTTGTAACTCGGAGGTTCTACTGTACATGGGCATTAGCCAATCATATATGCATGAACTGAAGCAGCACTGAGCCCAGGACATGGGAGGCGATGACTGAATGGGAAAGGCAACATGTTGATACATGAGTCCAACCAAGTGCTAAAAGTAAGGCAGATACCAGAGTTTTAAACTACACGAGAACTCAAACAGAAGAATTTGCCTGATGTACCTGAGGCAGTTAACTTAAATCAGGCCCAGACAGACAGCCATTGTACTCTGCACCACTGACTTTCATGTCAATGAAGCCAGACTGTTAGAACGTAGTATGTTAGAAGATGACATAGCTCTGATGTCACAATCCTACAATTTATCAATGGGCCTCAAAAAGCCTTTGGCAAAATCTCTCACAGAAAGCTATTAAGAAAACTAAGTAGTAATGATGGAATCATAGGCAAAGCACCACCACGGATTAGAAATTAGCTGAGGGACAGAAGCCAAAGAATAGATGGTTCCTTCTGACTGTAGTCCCCCCTGGGTGATGGATAGCCTGAAACATGATTTAACATGGTTATTTATAAGAAGTAATCCTTGGTCAGGGGAAGTTGTGCTGCAATCCTGCTACCAGCACCCATGCTCAATTATGGTAGGAGCCAACATGGATAGAGTCTGATCATGTGAGGTGCTAAAGAACTCCTCAACCCCCCGGGCTCCCACTGTGAGGCAAGGACCCACAGTGCCTTTACGGATCAGGTTCTAATCCCTGTTATTTACAAGGACTTTGTCTTAGAGATGTCGGGCAGCTGGCATGAAGCAATGTATTTCCATTGAAATCAGTGGAGCTACACGGATATCCACCAGCTGAGGATGTGGCCTGTAGTCCATTTCCCATTACATGGGCCAATAAGACAGTGCCAGGGAAAATATAAATAAACCCCTCGTTTATCCAACAATTACTCAAGGCAATGCTACTTCCCTTCAACTTCTGTCCAAATTCCCCAGGGAGTGTCTATCTGATCAGATTTCCCCTAGGGCTGGGGTGTTCTTGTTTCTGACTAGCCTTGGATTTCTGGGTGAACACCTAGGACAAAATTTTGTAACTCTGAGGTGTTCTCAGAGTCCTAGGTGTTCACCCAGAAATCCAAGGCTAGTCAGAAACAGATGTCCAGGGAAATCCTTAATCACAGAAAGGTGAACAAATGGGATTTTTAATGACTGGAGTTTAAAATTACGATCTTATTGCGAGCTGTGAACATGCTGTGAACATTCAGCTGGTGGGCTGGGAAAAATAGTGACTCGGATCATCCTTTTAGTTGAACCTGTTTTAACTTGTGTCAAGCTGTGAGGCCCTGAAAGCATCTTAATCCAGGTTATTTTAGGCGAGATCTTAACTACAGACTTTTGCAGGCAGAACTATGTCAGACAAGGACGTGTAAGGTGTGATTTGTGCCAGCAAAAGCCTCTAATGTAGATACATTCATACCAGCAAAGGAACTGCTTGCATTTTCATATACCTGTGAATTTACGTAAGATATTGAAAAGCAGAAGTGCTCTGCACCAGGAGATGTGTATGTACCTGATGGTGATTGAACTATACAAACCAATTGTTAAAAAGATGAGGCATCAGAAATTAAAGTTCACTTGGAAAATTATAGTCCAGTGTTTAGGGCACAGATTTCTCCACTCAGATGCAGTTCCAAGTTTCCTGATACTTTAAAAACTGTGTCAACCAGAGGAATTAACAACCCTCTTGGTCCTCCATCTCCCAAATACTGTACATCTGGCAGATATTATGGCTAAACACAGTAACTTGTTATGCAACAAGGGAAGAGGCAGAGACCAGAGTGAGGAAGACTAAGAAAAATCCATTGGTATCCAAGCAGAGAGGGTCAATTACAGGTTTCACCTAGGAGTTGGACTGAGCTACTATGCACTATTACCATTTGCTGGAGGCCTGGAGGTTCCTCCATCATTTAAGCCCTCATACATTGGTTTAATTTATACCATAAGGGGCCAGAAGAGGAGGCCGTGGCAAGGAAAACAACAGCAGCGTGTGAGACAGCAGCTCCCACCTGACTTTAACGCATGCCTTTTTACACGATCTTCTGGTTCCTCAGTATGGAAATTACAGCTGCTTAGACTCCATATCATGTTCATAATTGGATATACGCAGGTCTAGGGAACTCCGAGGGTAAAATAATCTAGTTTGCACCTACCACTTTAGCCATCACCTCTGGACACCCAGTGGCAAACAAAGAATAGCATGAACAGTAGTCCAATTTGAGAGGAGTGTGTTTATGACTGAAGTTAATCCTCTAAATCCTCTCTCCCCCACCCTGAGGTCAGAAATGCAGCAGTTTTTATTAAAATCAACATACAGCTGGTTATAGTCCAGTGTTTAGGACACAGATTTCTCCACTCAGATGCAGTTCCTGATGCTTTAAAAACTGTGGCAACCAGAGGAATTAACAACCCTCTTGGTTCTCCAGATAAATCACAAGATAAAGAAAACAGATTATTTAGCTTTCTCACACACACACACACACACACACACCCAACAGCATTTGAACTTGGCATAGGAAATTATACTTTCTCAAATACCAATGTGGCAAACTGTGGTCAAATGGTGATACTGTAATGGTGACCACTGTATCAGTGTTTTATGATACAGAGCAGTGATTTCTTTAACACAAGCTGTGCTTTACAAATGAAATAGTTTTAAAAATAGGCCTGCCACCTTCTTCTGCGATTCACCTTCTAACACACCAGAAATATTATTTTTTGGAAGTGATCTAATAATTAGCAGAATTGAAAACGGAAGCCTACAAATCTGAGATGAAAACAGAAAGAGGATCTTTTAATCAGAGGCTGAGTCACAAGACATAGCACAAAGGTGATCCATGAATTAAATCCTCCGATGGTTGCAGAAAGTTCATTCGGAATATTTCAGCTCTCTCTGTCAAGGCGTCCGGCAGCACTGAGGAAGTGTTCGGGTGCTACATACTCTTGCAGCCCCCTTTTCAGTTATTAAAGCTGTTCAGATTTCTGCTGGCTGCTCCATTATTCAAGTAATCCGAAGCATGCAGGAGTTTCAGTAGTGTAACAACTGAGCTGGGCAGAGGCAGGGAAAATGCAGCCAGTGAGAGATTTAATTTATTAAGATAAACATGGTCTAAGGCTGCACACTTATGTTAAAAAATAAACACAGTAAGAGATATGAAATCAAACTGGCTTTGCTACATCAGGCTCAGAGATTCTCACAAAGACCTTGTCAACCATACAAAATAATCTTCTCCCACAAAGAGGGTGAGAAAGCTGTTCACGGCTTTAGATCAGCAATGCCTCCTTTAACATTCAACAAATACTACTTCTGTGGCCCACTCTCAGGGGATCAAAGTTTTGGGCACCCCCAGCGAGCAGGAAGGCAGGTATTCAGGGTCTGAAATGAACATTGAAAAGACTTGGCACGATGACTATGATGATTCCGCGTTAGTGGTTGTTCTTCGCTGCCTCTTTTGCGGCAATAATCAGAGGAGTGAGACTAGAAAGGGGCTTCGCAATTTTCAGGAACTGGTGCTAGGAGAGAAGGAGAAAACTAAGTTATTGACGACACCTTTGAGGTCAAGTCTCACCACAGAGGGAAACGTTTGCACTGAAGCCATGCAGAGCTCAAGTGGTTTGCAGTTTAGTTTAGTTACAGGCTCAAAACTCAAACCAGGTTAAACTAAAAGGTTTGCTGAAGTCACAAACCTTTCAAGCAAGCCTGGACTGAGTTCCAGCTTTGCACCAAAATCAGGCTAAATTCCCAGCTTTGTGGCTTGTAACACAAAACTAGTTGAAACTCAGGAAATTCGTCATGGATTTGGAGTTAATTCAAAAATATAAACGGAAAGTTAGAGGATCTTAGTCCTGGACAGAACAAAGACACAGAGATCTGCTCTAGTTCACCCACAAGTTATTGAGCTGGATGTGGGAGTCACTGGGTGATTTTCTATGGCCTGTGTCATGCAAGAGGTCAGACTCAATTATCATAATGGTGCCTTCCGGCCTTTCAATCTATTCATATCTGCAAAGCGGAACTGGAGTTTGGCACAGCTATAGTCAAACTGGCAATCCAAGTCATTTACTAGATATCCAGGCGTCCATTTGCTGGACACCTTCCACTTACTACAATGCAACCCAGATATGGTCGCGCATCCATCACAGTATACATGGTGCCACAAAGCACTGTATGGAGAGTTCATCCTGAGCTGAAGGTGGCGGGTTTTGAGGTAAATTTCAAGAAATGGCAATACCTGCAGCAGTGGGGAAATAATTTCATGTATGGGGGTAACAAGTAAAGCTTCTAATGCCCAATCCGACCATAGCGCGTCAAGGGAGGAGAGCAGAAGGCAGATTTAAGTGGATCTCAAGTGAGGGAAGTCAAGTAGAGCCCAGCCATTAATGAATTGAGGGACATGACCATCCCATCAGTCACACATGCACAACTCCCACTGGACTTCTGTGGGAGTGGAACACACGCAAACGGATGGGGTTGAATTCAGTCCTGGAATTGGACATCCGTGGAAACAGAGGGGAGGTGGGTGAGAGGCCAGTACTGTTCTGCTCCCTGGAAGCATTTTGGCTACAACACCCAGGCTTCTGAAACAGAGACAGCAGGGATTTAGGAAGAGCATCAGTGAGAGAATGGCACCCAATACAGGGTTAGCGATTAAGGCATGAGTAGAGACGTCTCAGGGGAAGCAGACACAAGGTAAGGCAGACTAGCAGAGCATGGACAGGGAGGAAGTCCCCTTTGTAGCCAAGCGGAGGTGAATAAAGGAGAGAGACGGCAGGGACTGAGACATGGTATAAAAAGACACTTGCAGCAGAAGGGCTGTCGTGGGGAATCATTCTGTTGACAAGGCCAAGAAGAGCAGGGAGAGAAGTCTGAGCAATGAGGGAGAGTGCTGACACACACAGAGTTGGGCACCAGCTGTGGCGAAACCATGGGAGTATGGGGCTCCGCATCTTGGAGGGCCAGGCCCAGAGTGAACATTTGGAATTTGGTTACAGAATATTCCACCCAGCTGTTGCCATTAGACAGTGGCTAAAACAAAAAGGGATGGGAACCAGGGAAAGAGTCCTAAAGTAAAAAATCCTCATCAAGCCACTCCCTGTGCCCCTTCGGGCAAGTCACCTCAGGCATGCGTGTGCCATCAGCCATGCCATTTTAAACATGAAAGAAATCCTTAGTAGAGGCCAGAATGCTGGCTTGACTTGAGCTCGCCTCTCCACCCCCCTCCCAGTGGTTACCTGTAGCAGTTCCTTGGCAGAGCCTCTTTTCTCTACATCCATCTCGAGACAGCGGTTCAGGAAGTCTCGAAATATGGGCGAAAGCTTCTCAGGGTTCTGCAGCTCTGGAGTACCATTGGTGGCAATGAGATACAGGGCCTGAAGGAAACGAACACCAAGGAAACAAAAGGAAAAGAGGGGCCATTCAGATTCACCCCTTGTTTGAGCAAGATCCCTCCTTCTACAGGTTACACAGGCTTCTATTTTTCCTGCACATTCGGTTAGGAACAAATTGTTGCATGACTCATACATGCTTATGTCCATCCATGTTTATTATAAAACAGCACTGCTGTCTGCTCTATTTTTAAATGGACAGGATCCAGTCCTCTAGTATTTTACCCTATTAATCCAGGTTTGGATCCTGTAGTCGTCTGGAGGGATTTGCAAGAAGAAAAAACATTTCATGCCTTGTCTAAGGGCTTTTATACACAGAGGAGTTTACTAGCATAACTATATCAGTATAATTACTCCACTGTGGTTTATATTGGTATAACTCCTTGAGTGGACACTTTTATTCTGCAAGAAGAATGTCCACACAGGGAGTTATACCGCTATAATTACAGAAGCGTAACTCTTCTGGCATAGTTATGTCTGTAAATGTCCCTGCATACACAAACCCAGAGAGCCCATTTTTGTATGACACTGAGTGCCTGTCTGCAATAGCTCAGGCACTCAGCACCTTGCAAGAACAACGAGCTTTCCCACTATGACAGGGTAAAGTCCGACTGCTCCAAACAGAGGGAATTAAGAACCAATGGGCTCAGAGAATTTGATTTAAATGAGAACCATCCTTCTGGAGGAGGAGGTCTCCACCTGAACAGAAAGAAGGCAAGAATCAGTTTGGTGCTCCCAGGTAGCCTGAAGGCTTTTCAGAGCCCCTGAACCTAAGGGGAGCAATTCAACAGCCTGGGAACTGGAGCATCTTGAGTTAAATGAGGCCATAGTGTTAAGTTAATGAGGCCAGTTAAGTAACATTCACTTCCTTTCCCTTCTTTCCTCCTCACTGCCTCCCTCCCTTTGGGCTTTTTCTTAGGCTATGTCTACAGTACAGCCTGTGTCAGCAAAACTTATGTCGCTCAGGGATGTGAATATTCCATCTCCTAGCAACATGAATTACACCAATGTAAGTGCTGGTGTGCACAGCTCTATGTTGGCGGGAGAGCTCCTCCCACCGACATAGCTTCTGCCACTCGCAGAGGTGGGTTTTTTTATTCCCATAGGAGAGCGCTCTCCCATCAGCACAAAGCGTCCTCATCAGACGCGCTGCAGCGACACGGCTGTCTCAGTGCAGCGCTGTACATACAGACAAGGCCTTAGTCTCTTGCACTGGAAACAAACGTTAAACAAACTGGGCTAGACTCTTCTCATCCTCTCAGGAGTCACCTCTGACTGACAGAGGGATAATTTGATCCATTGATTAACTTTGCGGGTCATCTGCATCCCAAATGAATAAGGGAAGGTCTGGTGTCTATCATATATGGAAAAGGACAAGGACAGGCAGGTTAGACCCAACATTTTTAGATTATGTAAAAACCCCAACATTTTACAAAACTATTAACAGAAACATTTTCTATTTTTATTTTTTTTTAATAGTTGACGAATGTGTTTGGATTTGAAACTTCTCCTGCAATGCTTGGGCTCAGCCTTTGCAACCCATCCACCACTGCCACATGAGAACCAGGCAGTGAAATGGAATGGGATTGCACAGAAGGGGCTGGGCTCGAGGACTTGAGAAGCCAGCCACAATTACAGACCACTATGCCTAGCGGTACTCCTGCTGCCCCACGCCCATAACTTGGGATAGCAAGTAACTACCCACAATCTGGCCCTCAATGTCTTAGGAGTGAGTCTACAAAAGTGCCTGCAATGCTTTGAAGTGGGCCACTGGAAAGGTATTCCTGGAAAGACAGCTTGCGAAGGATGGTTAAATCACTTCACAAAAACAAGACCACAGGCCTCCACTATCTAGAACCAAACTCAGACTTTTAAGGCTCTGAAATGGTCAGAATTTTCCTCATTTCTAGTCTCTATCCAGGATAGGGACTGAGAGAAATGGCACGAAAGGCTATTCTTGTATTGCTTCTGGCCTAATATAGCAGAGAAGTTCAGAGAGGCATCCAGGATGCATCCATTCGCCCTAATGCAGAAACTTCGGAGGTTTCCTTATTAACGTATGACTATACAGTAACTATCACAAAAGCGAAGCCAGGTTTGACACGTCTGGCTGACTCTCGCACGGCACTCCAGTGACATAGCATTAGCTTACTCTCAGGGGGTTCTCATTGAGGTAAGGAGGCTCTCCCTCAATCATTTCAATAGCCATGATTCCCAGAGACCAGATGTCCACTTTCGGCCCATAAGCTTTCCGCGTCACCACTTCAGGAGCCATCCAGTAAGGTGTCCCCACCATGGTGCTGCGTTTGCTCTGCTCTGGTGTTATCTGGGCACAGAAACCAAAGTCAGCTGAAAGAGAAAATGGGGGTGGGGGAAGCAAGGAGACATTTTAAAGATAAGTTAGTTTGTTCACAAAGATATATGAGAACAGCCATACTGGGTCAGACCAAAGGTCCATCTAGCCCAGTATCCTGTCTTCTGACAGTGGTCAGTGCCAGGTGCTTCAGAGGGAATGAACAGAACAGGTAATCATCAAGTGATCTATCCCATGTCATTCATTCCCAGTTTCTGGCAAACAGAGGGTAGGGACACCATCTCTGTCCATCCTGCCTAATAGCCACTGATGGACCTATCCTGCATGAACCGTTCTAGATCCTTTTTAACCCTGTTACAGTCTTGGCCTTCACAACATCCTCTGGCAAAGCGTTCCACAGGTTGACTGTACGTTGTGTGAAGAAATACTTCCTTTTGTTTGTTTTAAACCTGCTGCCTATTAATTTCATTTGGTGACCCCTAGTTCTTGTGTTATGAGAATGCCATTAATGCCAGAGAACTGAGTAAAAACAAGGCTGAAAATGGGTTTCATATTATGCATCAGCTAATGTAAGCTATGGCCGCAGTTATGGAAGGAAGGAAGGATAGTTATGTGGTTAGGACACAAGGCATCTGGATTCTGTACAGTAACTCCTCACTTAACGTTGTCCCGGTTAACGTTGTTTCGTCGTTATGTTGCTGATCAATTAGAGAACATGCTCGTTTAAAGTTGTGCAATGCTCCCTTATAACATTGTTTGGCAGCCGCCTGCTTTGTCCACTGCTTGCAGGAAGAGCAGCCCGTTGGAGCTAGCTGGTGGGGGCCTGGAACCAGGGTGGACCCGCAGCCCCCCATCAGCTCCCCTAAGTTCCCTGTGCAGCAGCCAGCCAACAGGCTATCAATTGCCGGCAGTTCAGCTGTCCCTCCCCCCACTGCCGTGTGCTGCTCCTGCCCTCTGCCTTGGAGCTGCTCCCAGGAGCCTCCTGCTTGCTGTGCGAGGGAGAGGGGAAGTGGGGGGCTAACGTCAGGGTGTCCCCCTCCCCCTACTCCTGCCCCCCACTTACCCCTTCTCCATATAGAGCAAGATGGGGACGACAGGGCCCAGGAGGGAGAGAGCTTGCTGGCTGCAGCTACTGACTCAACTTCCTGATCTTTTTAAAGGCAATGTACTTAGAGTGGTGTCAGCGTACTTAAAGGTGCAATGCGCATCTCTCTCTCTCTCCCACACACAGGGTGTTTCTCTCTGTCTGCCATGCTGTCTCCCCTGTATACTGTGTGTGTACATATCGTTTTTTGTCTGGTGAAAAAAATTCCCTGGAACCTAACCCGCCCCCCCATTTAAATTAATTCTTATGGGGAAATTGGATTCGCTTAACATCATTTCGCTTAAAGTCGCATTTTTCAGGAACATAACTACAGCGTTAAGCAAGGAGTTACTGTAATGACTCACTGTAATGACGTTGGACAAGTGAACACCTCCATGACCACATATAAAATGGGGACAGTATTTCTTGTCTCACAACCTCCCTGAAAAAGTAGTGTCCTTATAGCACCTTGAAAGTGTAAAGCACTATATATGTTGTACATTCTAAATGTCATTATTCTAAGTTGACATTGCCAGAAAAGTGAACTGATGCAAAGTCTGATCTGGGATTAGGATAGTCTATGTTTTTTTTCATCAGATGTGTCACAGTTGTGTTATTTCCACAGTAGATACGTCATCCCATCTAGCTGGATTTGCTTTACAGTGTGAACACTTATGTCCATACTAAAATTAATTTACTTTTAGACATTTAAATTCAGTTATGGTCAAAAGTAGGAATGGAACCTTTAAGTGAAGATTTCTGATCCCCATGTCTTTTCAATTCATCTGCTTATTTTACTGATTAAAACAAGTATTTACTCCTGTTTGCCTTGCAAAGCCAATCCAGGAAGCTGGTTTCTCTCATGCCTCGTGCACCATAAGAAATGGTTACTTACTGGAACTGTGATTCTTCAAGATGGGATACAGATGTGTATAGTCCACGTAAGTGTGTGTGCGCCCAGCGCACCAGAGCTGGAGAAATTTGCCTAGCAGTACCCGCAGAGAGGCAGCACTTGCGCCTTGTCACCATAGCCCGTCCCCTGGCTACATGGGACGACGCTGTCCCAATCCTCCCTCAGTTCTTAGCACCAAATGCCTGGAAACAAGACTCCAATACAGAGGGGCTGGAGGCTGGGTCATGGAATACATGACTGCATTACATCTCGAAGAACCACAGTTACAGTAAGTAACCGTTTCTTCTTCAAGCAGACATAGCCGTGTATTCCACTTGAAAGCAACAGAGGGTCCTGTGGCACCTTTGAGACTAACAGAAGTACTGGGAGCATAAGCTTTCGTGGGTAAGAACCTCACTTCTTCAGATGCAAGACATCCCTTGCATCTGAAGAAGTGAGGTTCTTACCCACGAAAGCTTATGCTCCCAGTACTTCTGTTAGTCTCAAAGGTGCCACAGGACCCTCTGTTGCTTTTTACAGATTCAGACTAACACGGCTACCCCTCTGATACTATTCCACTTGAGTGACTCACAAGCAGTACCCCACCAAGAGGCGGGGTTCAGGGTCTACCTAAACAGTGACTCCAAGACCGCTCTACCAAAGTCTGCATCCACCCTGGAACGTGCGGTTATGGCATAATGGTTCGTGAACGTATGTATTGACGACCACGTAGCAGCCCTGCAAATGTCCAGTATGGAAATGTCACTGAGGAACGCTATGGATGGTGCTTGCACCATAATAGAATGAGCTCGCACCCACTGAGAGGGGGTAGCCAGAGCCATTTCCTACGCAGTCTTGATGCAGGAGGTTATCCATTTGGAGATGGTCTCTGCAGAGACCACTTGACCCTGCATACGACACAAATGAGGCAAAGCAAGAAATGGTTTAGGCCTGTCCAGGTGGATAGCCTGACATCTAAGATAAGGAGACACTGCTTTTTGGAGATGAACATGGCTTAGGAAAGAACACAGGTATATACATCACCTGGTTTAAATGAAACTGAGAAACCACTTTAGACAAAAATTTTGGATGCAGGCCATAAGGTCACTTTGTCTTTGGAGAATTGTGTATAAGGAGGCTCTGCCATCAGAGCCTGCAACTCTGACACTCTCCTTGGGGATGTGATCACTACCAGGAATACAGTTTTCTGACACACAAGCGGTAAGGGACAAGATGCCAGGGGCTCGAATGGAGGTCCCATTAAGGCTGTTAGGATGAGGTAAGGTCCCACAGATGAACTGGCTCTAGGAATGGAGGATGTAGATGAAGGAGCCCTTCTAAGAATCTTGCTACCATGGCATTGAAGACGACGGATCTTCCCTGAATGGGGGGAGGGGGGGATGAAATACCGATATCGCTGCCAGATACGCTTTCAATGAACTAAACACAAGCCCCAATGACAGAAGGTGCAGCAGGTTCTCCAAAATGCCCTGGACAGAGGTCAGCGATGGTTGGATTCTGCAGGCTAACAGCCACACCGAAAATCGCTTCCATTTCACTGAATAGGGCACCCTGGTGGAACGTCCTCTACTGTTAAGGAGGATTTGTTGGACAGCCACCAAACACGTCTCTTCCTCCTCATTCAGCTGTTCCACAACCATGTTGTTTCCAAAGCCAGCAGAGAGCGGATCTGCTCAAAGAGCAGTATCTCGTGAGAGGGGGCCCTGAAGGGGGATGGGGAGGGAGGGTGGGAAGGAGTTGTGGAGAGGAACTGGATGGCATAACCCAATCTGATGGTGTTTAGGGCCCAGCTGTGGGTGGTGATCGAGCCCCAAGCATTGTGAAAGCAGGCCAGCCTGTCCCCAAAGCAGGGAGATCAGGAGACGAGCAATGACTGGAACAGTGCTCTGGACCAAAGAGGAAAACGGGCGCTTGGAGGACAGTGTGTGGACTGGCCGAACCCTGAGACCAACTGCTTTCTCCTGTTGAATCTATCCCTTTTTCTGGGTTTATCCCATTGCCTTGGAGGAGGGCAAGGCTGGCCAAACGTGTGCTCTGGACAATACTGCTGCTGAACGCCACTGGCATGTACACCCCCAAGGACTGCAGGGTAGCCCCGGAGTCCTTGAAGGAATGCAGCTTCTTGTCAGTTTTGTCAAAAAACAGCGTTTGGCTGTTGCAGGGTAAATCCTCAATGGCTTGCTGGACATCAGGGGCAATGCCCAGACTCTGCAGCCAGGAAGCCCTCCTCATGGTGACTGCAGAGGCCACCACCCAGGCCAAAGTGTTCACGATGTCTAGCATGGGCTGCAAGGTCACCTTAGCCACCAAGCAGCCGTCAGTGACAAATGTCCAAAATTCCTCTCACAAGGCAGCTGGTCTGTGAACTCGGACACAGCTGTCCAGTTAACAAAATCATACTTGGACCACAAGCGTTGCTAGTTCGCATCCATAAGGAAGAGGAGTCCCTACCCTTAGGGGACTGCCCTGCTGGGCTCTGTCGTTCACCACAGATACAACTAGGGAATTTGGGGCTGGATGGGAGTAAAACCCCTCAAATCTGTGCATGGGAACGAAACAGCACTTTTCCATGCGCTTAGCTGCAGGTGGTACCGAAGCCAGCATGCTCCAGAGCGCCTTAGCTGGTTCAAGGAGCACGTCCTTGATAGGAGGGCGACTCTCCCAGGAGCAGATGGCTGCAGGATATCCACTAATTTGTGGGTATTCTCTTGCAAGAACTCCACTTCGATACTGAGGGAAGAAGCTATGCCCCGCAAAAGCTCTTGGTATGCCTTAAAATCCTCTGGTACTGAAGGCAAGGATGAGCCAGGCAGCACAGAATCCTCCAGAAACGAAGACTAGGCCCTTACCTGAGCCTAAGCCAGATCCCGTTCCAGGGCTGACGGACCCGGACGGGACGACTTCGGAGGCTCTGCAGGGAGAAGGACCTCCAGAGCCTGGGACTGCAGTGTACCATGATGGTCATCACTGCAGACCTGGCCAGCAATTTTGCCTTCAAGCAAAACAAAGAGTGGGACCTCTGCAACCGAGGAGGATTCCATGGAGGCCGTTGACATGGATAACGCATTGGTGGCCAGTAAGTGCCAGGCCACAGGCCTCCCTCCTGACCATGAGACAAGCATCAATCCTGGTACCCGTAATGTTCCATCAAAGGGCCCCGATGCTGGTCAGGCCATGGAGAGCAGGAGAATGACAACCCCGACTCAGATGCCAAGGAGCCTCGGGATCCTGGAAAAAAGGGTGGAGCGAGACCAGAGGGAACAAGTAACCTGTCTAACACATCCCCCGTCCAGAACAAGGCAGGAAGAGGTGCTGCCCATGGAAATGGTACCATCAGTATTGAGCTTGCTGGTTCTGGAAGCGTTGTCAATCCCAAAGTCAGCAGCAGTACCAGACTGTCTGATGGTACCAACATTGAGGGAGGTGAAAGTTGCCATGGAAGCACTTGCGGAGCCAACCGTAGCTGTGCAGAGGAGATTCCTGGTACTGAGTTCCTGTACCAATTCTGGCACCGACCCTGGAAGGGGAACACTGGGGTATGGTGCCGATAGACCTGAGGTTTCAGCACTTGTTCAGCCAACAGAACTATACATGATGCAGTCCTGGAGAAGTCCTGGACCAATGGAGAGATTGGGACCAAGAGGCAGAGGAGGTCTGTAGCTGCCTGGTACCGACTGTTTCCACATTTATTGGTGTATCAGTATCTCCCTCGTTGGTACCAGACTCAAGACGCCAGAACCGGAGTCAACAGTACAGGGTTTCTAGCCTTCCTACTCAGTACCAGGTAAGGGTTAGAGGTACCTGTGCCATCCCGCACACTGGCACCAATTCTGTGCTGGTCTGTGCTTTTCCTGGGTCAGGTGGAAGAGTCACCCCCAGACCTGAAGCAATCTCAGGTGGTGTCATGGGACCTTTTCCTCGGCGCTGTCAGCAGGAACAGCTCCTCAGTTTCTTCAGAGAGGTGACTGCTCCGGAACATGAAGTGGCAGCACTCTCAGAACCCAAGGGTGATCTGCAACCCAGTGAGGGCCCTGGTACCGAAGCAGGCTGCACGGCCTGTTCGAGCAGGTGCTGCTTCAGGCAAATGTCCCATGCCTCTTGAGTCTGTTTTCTTAAACGATTTGCTCATCACACAACACTCTGATGTGGGCCTCATCGAGACAGAGCAAGCACTGCATGTGGGGATCACTCCTCCACAGAAACGACAATGTTTAAACATCGGTGGGGGCATCGCCGAGGAAACAAATTACTACAACTAACACTACTCTAACACTACGGGTACTACTAACTAAAAGAACTAGATAAATTCATGGAGGATAGGTCCAGCAATGGCTATTAGCCTGGATGGGCAGGGAGGGTGTCCCTAGGCTCTGGTTGCCAGAAGCTGGGAATAGGCGACAGGGGATGGATCACTTGATGTTTATCTGTTCTGTTCATTCCCTCTGAGGCACCTGGCATTGGCCACTGTCGGAAGACAGGATACTGGGCTAGATAGACCTTTGGTCTGACCAAGTATGTCCGTTCTTATGTTCTAACTACACACAAGGGAAAATAGTAAACTAGTTGAGAGGTAACGAGGTTAAGATCACACAGGGCGCTGATTCCAGCCACAGGCACCAAGAATAAACTGAGGGAGGGTCAGGACAACACTGCCTCATGTAGCTATGGGAGGGGTTATGGCCACTAAGCATGAGTGCCACCCCCTATGGGTACTGCTAGGGAAATTTCTTCAGCTCTGGTGTACTGGGTGCATGCACACCTAACTGGAATATAAATCTGCATCTACTTGAAGAAGAAACATAACTACCAGCAAAGTTTTTGCTGGTAGAATTTTATTTCAGGTTGAGGTAAGGGGGAGAACACATACGGCTTAATTTTTAGATCCCAGGTTGAGCCTTGCACCCAGGCTAACAGCTAGAAAAATCATCTATGGGTTATAACTGAGTAAATTTGTATTGGAGCCATTGAGAGAGTCAGCCTGAAAGCATACTGCACCATTTTCAGAGAGAGACTTTTCTAACTTAACCCGCACTAGGCAGCTATCAGAATGCAGTTTAAAAAAAAAATTCTATAATGCACACAGCATCTTTGCCTCTGGCTAGCTATTCATAGCTTGCTACAAAGTTAAAACCGTGGGATATTGAAGTGCAGTTCTACTCTGAAAAGGGATTTATGTAAAAAATATAAATGATACCTTCTTACTCAGCAGATCTGCTCCGGGAGGGAATTTAGAGTTATATCTGCTTACGTTACTGACTAAAGCAGAGGTTTATGTCTCCTGTTAACCCTGGAGCAGGTTTCTCTTCCATCCAGTACACCATCAACAGAGTTCTTTACTGGGTTCCAATCATTTACCCCTGTGCCAGCCCACAGAAAGCAATATGATTGCACAGGTGATATTAAGGACATAATGTGGCACGCAGAATCTTTATTGCTGGTGATAATGTGCAAGAAGGAAAAAACTTAGCTTGGCTCTCAGAGCCCAGGCTGAGTGGCATGGCTGACAGTTTGTAAAGAGGGAAAACATGGAACCCCAGAATGCTAGTTCATTGTTTTTCATACTAATTGTGCTCATTCTGCAAGTAACGAGATCTCTTCCACCCACCACAAGTCATCCTTTTTAATCTAGCCCGACCATATTTAAAGCTATGGTCTCAGTGCACAGCGATTTATCCCTGCAGCTACCATCAACACAAATAGGTGCCACTGCCTATTGGCTATCCTCACAACACAACTGTGCCTTGGAAGGACAACCTGCCCTTTAATTTGCAAGCTCATAATCAGAGTCATCATCAAGGCTGCCTTCTGCATACTTAGTTTGACGGAGCCGTCCATTCCTAGTAGAATGTTGTCGCTCTTGATGTCTCTGTGAATAACTTGGCTTGAATGCAGGAATTCCAGAGCCTGAAGACACTATGAGAAAACAACACGGTATTTTTTTTAATAAAGCCATTCAACAACCTTTGAAATTGCATTAGAAAAGGGGCAACTGACCAACTAGTCGAATCTGAAGATATGCACTTTTAAACAACATGGGCTTAGTTTCTTTACTATAAGCAACATATTCTACCTCCACAGTTTCATGACTGTATTTCTATGTGACACAGAAGTGATATGTCAGAGTATCTCAAATCTGTGTGGAATGGAGATTGATCTGGGTACAAACAACAGACCCAAATTGGAATTAATCGTTATGAATTGGGCAAAAAATGGATTTTTCTGTTCAGTGGCAATTCCTCCCAAAATAAACAAATGCATAAATAAGTTATTTTTGGGGTCAAACTAAAAAAGGCATTTTTAAAACTTTTTAGCAAATCAAAATAAAAAAAATTTTAAGTCAAAACTAAACAAAATGTCTCAACGTCAAAAAAAAATGTTTAGCTTCTACCCAAAACATTTTGTTTCAGATTTGAGGCATTCTGACAAAAGCAAAGGAAAGGATTCTCAAATAGGAAGGTTTCAGATTAGGATTCTCAAATAGGAAGGAGGTTGGGTGAAGCCTCCCTGATAAGCTTTTGTCCACTGGTGAGAGCATCCCAGTGCAAGAGGCTCACAGGCATCTGGGAGTGAGTTGCAGCTGCCCTGACCGGTTGTGTGTACCCCAACTCATTAATGACATACATTACACCTTTTAGAGACAGGTTACGATAGCAATAGAAAGCTAAATCATTACAGATACTTAATATTATTGAGGGTGTATGTACAGGGGACAAATTCAAATTTACAAACGTGGGGAATTAATGGTCTTAACGTGTATCTGCCAGGCAGAGCTGAAGTTACCCCACCCTAGACAAAGGAATGTGGTTCTGCCACCTCGAAGGTACTTCCAAGGTTGAGTAAGTGACAATGGGAATGCAATTTACATAGAAAGTTAATAGGACCATTAAGCAAACAAGGGGAGGATATAACCACTCAGCATCACAGCATGGTGGGTGGGGGGGACAGACTACAAGAAACAGATCAATTTGCATTTTAACAAACACCAGCAGGGGAAGAAACCAGCATGAAATTTCCTTCATCGAGAGACTCCATGTTGCCTTCCTCACAGCTTGACTGAACTTTACTTTGGGGACATTAACCTTCAGAAAAATCCATTGCAACAGTTCACTGGACTATAAAAGAGAGGGGCAAAAAAAAATCCCAAGTTATCTTCCATCTAAAAAGACAATCTTCATGGACTTTGTGGAAGAACCCGACCAGAGGGGAGGTCAGCCATCTTGCTGGAAAGTAGATTGGTACATTGAACAATGGCTGTAGCTTGTTTTGTTAAGTCTTAGCCGCTAGAATAAAGCATTTTTCACTTCTATTTGCCTGTAACCATTTCTAGCTCTATTCTTTATATTGGAACTCACTTAAAATCCTATCCCCTCTTGTTAATAAACTTGTTTTACTTTTAATCTAACCCAACCCAGCATTGCCTTTGAACTGAAGTGAGAGTTAACTCCAGTTAAAAAGTGATGAGTTGGAGCAAACAAGCTTTATTATTCCTGTGAATAGTCCAGGAAAGGACTGGACATTTCAGAGTTGGGAAAATTCAGGACTGGGGGCTGTTCATGGGCTAGGAGCTGTTCATATCATCATGTCTGACTAAAGAGAGGAAGAATGAACCTTCAGCCTTGCAGTGGGGGCACTTATTTAAAATGTGAGCTGGGAAAACCAAGTTCAAGTCCCTGCTCGGCATCAGGCAGATGAGGAAACTGAACCCGGGTCTCCCACATCCCAGGTAACTGCTCTAGCCACAGGGCTATTATAACAGAGGCACCCCCACCATTTTGGGAAGCCTTTGCTTTGTATTCTTCAAAAGGCCTGAAAACTGAAATGAATTGTTGTGGGTTGAAACAAAAATTCCTTTCCATGGTTCTGAAACATTTCAACTTTTTCTGTTTGGTTGAAACTGGTTGGTGAACTCAACACAAATTTGCAAATAGTTTCACTCACCCCAAACTGAGTTTTTCGGTAAAGAAACTTCCGAAAAAATTTGCCTCGCTCTAGATCTGAGGGTTAAGGCATCAAAATGTTACCATGCTGCAAGGGCTCATGTGTTGGGAGCCCTAAAAGTGATTTTGAGCCCCATTAACTAGATGTGGGGTCTGGGATTGCCCTGAAAACAGGGACTATCCTAGAAACTCCAGAATAGGTTGCAAGCCTGTCTGAAAACAGAATATTAACACTGAGATGATGGATCCACTAATGAGGCTGTGAAGAAATAGGTCAAACCAAACTGTGTATGGATTCCTTTGGCAGAACCTGGAATAAATCGTTCTGCAATATGACAAGAGCACTACCAGAAAACTCCTTTGTAATAGTGAGCTGGCCCATAAAGGCCTAGGCAACAACAGAGCTTCCACAGTTCTTCGACCTGATGCATGGTTTTCAAAGTTTCTTCAGTATAATTATTGAATTCTAAACAACATTTGAAAAGGAGAAAGATTTGGGAACTGCACCACAAGTGGAAAAAGAGCAGCTTTACATTCAAGAGGAATGCCATCCCCTTCCCCATGTATAGTGTGCCAGAACGAGCTCTTTTAGGAACATCCACAGGAAGCCTGGAACCTCTGTGGGGCCTATCTTAACGAGGCCTTAAAATTCCACCTGCCCCTCCAGAAGGAGCATCTTCTTTCTTTCTTCTGCTTTTAAAAAGCTGGAATTCCATTGGCTAATGGAATTCACCTTCCAGGGCAGGAGGAAAGTAAAGGCTCTGGGACAGTACAAAAATATGGGGGGAGTTTTTTCAAAGGCAAAGAAGGCAGCTGGGTCAATGGAAAGTCAGGTGCCTAACTCCCATCTATGCCTTTGAAAATCTCCCCCCTTCATTCAGCATTTGCTTGCCCCTCACAGCCTGGTTTCTGGGGCAAATCAAAACAGTATAAAGTCATTTTATGCTGATGTAATGGGGGCACTGAATCAGTGCAGAGAATTAATGACATTAAGATTTTCAGGCCAGATGGGACCATTGTGATCACCTAATCTGCCTTCCTGCATTAACACCAGAGCACAGAACTGTGCCTGGTATTTTTTCCCATCAAGCCCACAACTTGTTTGAGGTACAGCACAGCTTTTCAAAAGGTATCCAGTGTTGACTTAATGCAAGTGATGGAGAATCCACCATGTCCCTAGGCAGACACTGGCAGGCAGGCCTTACTTCAAACAAAGAACTTTAGGTAACAGAGATTCAAATGGTTAAAGATTTCCTCTGTTAACAGGACTGCATCCATTAGCTAATGTTTGCACAGCACTGGGGCATGCTACTTCTGTGCTCAATTCACTGGTGATATTTCTTTTAAATGTTTCTGTCGCAGTTAAGCTATGTCCTATGGAACTATTAAATGTCTCGCTCCAAGTCATACTGTAAAACCATGACACTTCATGGAAACCTTAATTTTATTTATACATTTCACGCTAAGCACTCGTTCTGACGAGTAGAGCATAATCTTACCTCTCGACACACAGCTGCTATTTGTCCTTCATCCATGCAGGTCTCTGTTACAACATCCGTCAGGGAGCCGCCTGCCAAATACTCCATAACTACCCACAGTTCATCTCCTACGAGGTAACTATAAAGGGCCAAAAAAAATAACAGACGGTAGTTGTATTTCTTTAGCCAAAAAAGCTCTGAGTAAAGCTATTTTTAAAATGTAGTGGGCCACTAGGCATCTGTGCCTCATTCTAAAGCCCAAAATGCCTGGAGAGTCAGTGTGGAGTGATGGAAACAGCTTACAAGCATGGCTGAGAGCTCTTTTTTGTTCAGAATATCACCAGGTTGAATCATCACTCGGATTCGCAGTCTGCTTTCATCCAACTTTAAGTTCTCGGCCATTTTTACTTTATGCATTGTGGTGAACAGCGATAGTAATGCATGTATCTATGCCATGCCAAGAGTCTCAAACCATTGTTATAGGACAGGTAACTCAACCAATCACCTTACTCTGCAGCTAATTAACATGCAACACTTTCATTGGCTGTCTGAGGGAAACTGCACAGATGATGAATTACTTGGCCAAATTGCCACACCTCTGTACCTAACTGCCACCACATAAACCCACACAACTCTCCCAGTACAACACAACCACCCATACAACACCACAACCAGCACGTACAATAAGCCCAAAAATGCACACACCGCTTTATCACAGCATACTCCCCTCATTCACCACCTGTACAAATCAACAAATATTCTAGCACAACCCCTCCTAGAGACACAAATCCACACAACCACCCACACGACATAACCAGCATACACATGGAATTTGCTGTCTGTTATATCCAATTTTTAAGTTCTCGGCCATTTTCATCCTTTTGTTTTATTTTTGACATACGTGACTATGAATTAACCCTGCGACAGCATGGGCTTTCAGCTATTCGTTAACAGACAGTTAATTTAGCAGTGCTAGAGATTTAAGCTATTCAGATATTATTTCTGGTACTCCAATGATTTATTATTTGATGTACCCTCCCCAAAGAGCTTGGATCTTAGTTTAAGACAAGAGAGAACATGTAGTTGAAAATAAAAGGTGTGGGAGAGGAAAGGGAGGATGGAGAGATAGTAATATGCTCCTGTTTTGTCATGGATCAGCTGTGTGCCCACTAAGTAGAGTCATTTTTAAGACAATATTGTACATTCTTAAAGTCTGATCATTAATTTTTTCCTTGCACCTACGACACCTAAGGATCTCAAAGCAATTTGAGAATGACAGTATCCTGCAAGATACGCAAGCGTTATCACCATTTTACACAGAGGGTAAGTGAAGGCAGAGAGGTTAAACAGATTTTCCCCAAACACCACCAGAGAGTAGCATACCAAGCTTATAGACCAGGCTTCTGGCTCCTAGTTCTGTGTTTTAATCACAAGACCATCCTTGGGCCAGATTCTCACCTGCATCAAGAGCTGCTTGGTGCAGGGGCAAAGGGCATGTCCACGGGGGAGCTGATTATGGCTGCCTGATTCTCAAATTGCCCTGGCCCAGGCATTAAATTAGAGCTAAAGCACCATACTCCAGCTGTGAATCTAGTACAGCAGGGCTCTGTCCTGACCCTTTCCTGGTATGTCCACAACAGGATAGGACAGGGGCTGGGAAAGAGATGGCTGCATATGACCTGGTTCTGTTGGCCAGTTCACAATTTCCCTCTTCCAGGGGGCTGTGGTGAAATCCTAGTCCCTTTAAGGAGTACGTGTTCTCTTGAGGTTATAAACAAGACACTGGGACGAAGAACTGCTATCTCTGGCATTAGCTCGTGTGACCTTCAGTAAGTCATCTTACCTCTTTGCCTCAGTTTACCCATCTGTAACATGAGAAACTACCTTCCTTTACAGAGCCCATAGTGGGAAGCATAATTTATTTGTTATCCTCACCGTAAATACCAATTATAACTTCTATCTCATCACTGCTGCCCTCCTCTGTTTTTAAAGTTAATTTTGAGGGGAGGAAAAAAAATCGATGTGGTCAGCTTTACACATTTTATTACCAGAACATTTTGCAGCCTGTTGGTCTATAAAGCAGACGTGACCAGCAGACAGAAAAACAAGAACTCAAATCAGATTAAGAGCTGCTGCGCTGGTGGTGACATTGTGCACTAGCATCGATTAAAGAACGCTTCAGTCTGATCAGATGACCAAACCTACTGCATCTTGAGAGCCAGAGGAAAATGTAATAGACAGTCTCAAAGTAATGACTAATTCTCCAAGTTGTCAGAGGTAGAAAGCAAGGTGAGTGTCTGGTTCAATGATTAGCTAAAATCTTTCAAATAGGAGAATCAAGAAGTGTTAACGAATATTCTGGCTTTAAAATACAGTAACTCACTTAAAGTCGTCCCAGTTACCGTTGTTTCGTTGCTGATCAATTAGGGAACATGCTTTGTCCACTGCTTGCAGGAAGAACCTGTTGCAGCTAGCTGCTGGGGGCTTGGAATCAGGGTGGACCGGCAGCCCCCCTATCAGCCCCCTGCTCCCCTAAGTTCTCTGTGCTGCAGCCGCCCAGCAGGCTAGCAATCGGCAGTTCAGCTGTCCCTCCCCCCACTGCCATGTGCTGCTCCTGCCTTCTGCCTTGGAACTGCTCCCAGAGACTCCTGCTTGCTGTGCAGGAGGGGAAGGGAGGGGGCTAATGTCCCCCTGCTCCTGCACCCCGCTTACTACTTCTCCATATAGAGCAGGGAGGGGACACAGAGAGAGAGAGACAGAGGGAGCTTGGGGCAGCAGCTGCTGTCTCAACTTCCTGATCCACTTAAAAAGACAATGCACTTAAGAGTGGGTCAGCTTACTTAAAGGGGCAGTATGCATCTCTCTCTCCCCCCCCACACAAGGTGTGTGCCTGTCTCTGTCTGCTATGCTGTCTCCCCTCCCTCCTGTTCATGCTTCCTTGATGAGAGGCTACATTAACAACATGTTAACCCTTGAGGGCTCAGCCGAGTGCTAGGTCATCATTTAGCAGCAAGGCATTCCCTGGGAAATATCCCACCCTCTTCCACCCTCTAACTTCACCACCTCAGCCAAACTTCACAATCATCATAGCTGTGAACAGTATTAAATTGTTTGTTTAAAACGTGTACTGTGGGTATATCTATATAATATATAGTTTTTTGTCTGGTGAAAAAAATTTCCCTGGAACCTAACCCCCCCTATTTACATTAATTCTTATGGGGAAATTGGATTCGCTTAACATTGTTTTGCTTAAAGTCGCATTTTTCAGGAACAGAACTACAACGTTAAGCGAGGGGTTACTGATTCTGAGGCCACACAGGACTGCTTCGGGGTGTGGGCTTTTACTCCAAAGTAACACAGACCATTTACACTTGCACTAAAGGAGACTCTAGTTAAATGAGGACAGGTATGGTCTAGTCGTCTGAGCAGGTGACTAGGAGCCAAGGAGATCAGAATCCCAGTTCACCAATGACTCTCTGCGTAGTACTGGGCAAATCCCTTGAGAATCCTGCAGGAGTGTACACAGAGCCCAGGAACATTCACCGACTGGCCTATGTTTTCCTGCATGTGCAGAGAACACAGCCTCCGGACACCAGACATCCATGGGGAAAGGAAGCTGCGGTGCAGTGCCCCCTTTGCTGCTCTGTTTGGAGTCTCTTCCCAGCAGTACAGATTCCATAGGAACTGGGCTAAGACTGGTTCTGCTGTCTGTGCAATAACTCCCTCTTGAAGGAGACTATAGAGTTGGAACAGTACAATTTTCTTCACGAATATTCCTGCTGACACTATGAAATTGGGTTAACCTCCTCCTAATGGACCCCCAAAGCTATTGTATCCCAAAATCCCCCCCACCCACTTTTAAGGTTTTGTGTCTTACCCATCATCATCATCATCATCTTTCCAGTCAAGTACAATTAGACATGGCTGCCTTGCAGATTTCATCAGCACCTTTAATTGATCAGTGGCACTTTCCTTCCCTGCCACTAGTGTCTTCTGCAGCATAACTCAGCTTGCCAAATGGGCAAGAGATTGAAAGATCACATGTCCCGCATGACCATACATAGCACAACCCAGTGAGCACCAGCTGGAAGCTGAAAAGTAATTCTGAGCAGTGGACAGAGCAAGCCAAGAAGCACGCTGGGAATCTGAAGCTATGCCATCAGCAGCCGTATGTGCATGCCAGAGCCTGGGCACCTAAATACCAGAGATCTTACACAACCTGCAAGGACGCAGAATTAATTCAAGCTTCCTGCCAGCTCCAGCTGCGTAAATGTGATTTGAGGAAGCAGGCTGGGGCCACCTCCAGGCTCATTTTGATCTTTAACCACAGCAGAGGCCAGTATTAGTCACTGAATTGTTTATTGCAGATATGTTTCAAATGCCTTTTGGGGGGGGGGCAGTTTCTGAGACAGCAAAGGGGACTGTGATTACAGATACAGGACCAAGTTCTGTTCCCTCCCACTGACCTGCTGTATGACCTTGGGCACATCACTTGGGGTCAAATTCTACTACCCTGACTCACGCGATGTAGTCCTACTGAAATAGGGTCCTTATGCAACAAGATGTTACTCAGCGTGAGTCAGGGTGGGAGAATCGGGCCCAGAACCTCTCTGTACCTCTGTCTCCCCAGCTGTAGAATAGTGATGTGTTTCTCTCAGGCTTACAGTTTACAAAGTACTTTGAGATTTTTCTATAGAAGCCAACATATAAACACCAACCATCACTATAAACCTGCTCTTGTGAAAAACCCTATAGAATTCAGTGGAAAATGACAGCTCTTCTACACAGTTTTTGGACAATCACATAGTATTTGATACAAAGTTATATTCCTACTATAGAGCGCTATTAATTTTTTAAAATCTTATAGTGAAATTAGCATTAGCTATTCAATTTCAGAGGTGCACAGTACAGTATTACATTTCTGTGTAGCCCTGTGATTCCACTCCTATTCAATTGCGTAGGGCTTTTCCATATAGGTGACTACAACTGAAGGTTTTTATTTCTGTGGAGCTGATTGGCTGGTTTTGTTGTTTGTTCATTTTTAAAGGAGATTTCTCTCAAAGCTGAGAAACAAAAGGCCTCTCTATGTTTACCTCACTGGGGCTCTGCATAGGTACAGGGGTCCACCGTACAGATGTG